AAACAAAGTAGAACACATGATCATTACAGCAGTATGAAGAGATGCTGTTCAAAGGCAAGCTTCTGTTACACAACTACATTCTAAAAGAACAGTTTTCTCCTGAACAGCTAGTACTGGTTTTTCCTTCTCTTGGGCTAATTATGCCCTCAGGGATAATCTTGAAAAGACACTGAATCTACATCCAAAGCAACCAGTTGTTGCTAAATAAATTAGATTATCTTTTGACTATATTGCATTTGGTTTTTCAGGAAGAATGATGCTAAGGAAAGAAGGGAGTTCTCTTATTTTTATAGCCATATAAGCCTCTCTTGTACTTGCCGGAAGAAAAAAAAACAAACTTACATGACATGAAAAGAGAAAGGCAGATTCTTTTCTTCACTGCTGAGGGACCATTAAAGAATTAGGTGAGCAGCCCAGGAAAGGAGGGGAGGGTTGTGCCAGGGAGAGACAGCTGTGACTATAAAACAATAGTTTTAAGTCTTTGAAACTGCAGATTTGTGTAAGTAGATCCTACTAGTTGATCCAATGCTGGCACTACCCTGGATGTCAACAAAAGGGAGAAATACATATATACTTATCTGGAAAATGAATTCCTGTCCCTGGAACACCACAAGGAAATCCGAGTTCTCTGGAGAGCTTGCCTTCGTGTCAGAAAAATTATGGTAAGAAAGCAACCGTCCCTCCAGCATTGTTTTCATTTTCCAAATGACCATTTTTTATATGCCATTAGAAAAGCACAGTTTCATTGACTCCCCCAAACGCAAACCAATACAGACTGGGTCAGAAAGTGGGTAAGTGTGAAACACTTCTGCAACTACCATGGCACAACGCACAGCCAGCACAGAGCCCTGCACCACAAAAAAGCCAGGGCAGCGTGCTGAAAACCACCCGTTACTCCCCTCTCGGAGGTCAGTACCACAGGCTGTCTCCACAGCACATCTACAGTTCCTGTCCCACAAAACAAAAACTGAGATGTCGGGGGGGACTTGGTGCACCCTTCCATGGAGTCAGCAGCCCCTCTAACCTCTCAAAACCGGGGACTTGAAGCAGACGAGCGTGCTTACCTCCCTGCTGCCCATTTCTAGACAGCCACGTCTCCAGCAGCCCACTCCCCCAGGCCTGCTCAACAAATCCACCTGTGCCCTAAACTTCCTTGCAGGCAGACAGAACAGTTAGACTTCTGGATCACACACAGACAGTAGTAACTAAACAAACAAGTAAATAAAAATAAAAGGCTGTAACAGTGCTCCAGTTGCTCTGCAGCACACTGCGCTGTAACTGCCACCACATCACAGCCTTCAGAATTGAAGCTGAAAAGCTGTATTGAACCAGCCTCCTACAATCCATCCACTGGTCCCAGCCAGCAGCAGCACCCCTATGGACATGAAGAGAAGGCAAAGTCACTGCCACTCGTTGCTAAGCCTTTGCTTTATTCCTTCAGACTACAAATTTAAAGAACGGCTTTTTATTTTATAGCTGTGCTAAGGTTAATGAAAAAACCCTACAACCAAACACGTCGGGTACTTGATGGGCAGAACACAACACCAGTCACCTGCAAAAGCTCGGGCCAAAGAATGGCCGAGATCCTGGGGAGCAAAGGTCTTGGGATCCCACAGCTGATGGACTCACACGGGACGTGGTTAGAACCTCCGAGCCCAGCTCTGTAGCAAGGTGCCTCCACTGCAGTAACCAGAAGTGTGTTCTTAGAAGCATCAGGAGAGCTACTATTGATTTAGCAAGCAAGAAAACCGAGCACACACTCACCCTAAAAAATAAAAGAAATTAGACTAAACTCCCTTTAGTCTCCAACTGAGCAGCATAGGGAAAATGCAGCAACATTTGCAGTAATAAAATCAGAGTTTAAAACTGAAATAAAAGCAGGGGACTAAGACGTAAAACAGAGATGCAAAGCTGATCTTTAAATATTCTTTGAGAAACCTGCACTCTGGGAGCTAGAGGCATGGGGGACTATTGCCTTCTCTCTCAAGCTGCCTTAGCAGATACATTAAACCCTGTGATCTTTGATACGCTCTCCACACGTTACAGCAGGCATCATGCTGAGATGCATTACCCAGCTTTAGACTCTTCCCCTGCAACAATCAGGTACAAACAGCCCCTGCCTAATCTCTGTCCTGCCTCTGGTTAGAGCCTACTATGACTGAGGGTCCAGAGCAGCATCTTTTAACAGAGCAAGTGAAAGATGTTCTTTATGTTAAAATCTGCCAGTAAGACTTCAAAGCCAGAGCCACCATCCGGTCTTTGCAGAACCTCACCTTGTTTTGTGAGAGCTTCTCTCAGAGCTGGGGTTATCATCTCTCTCTTTTCACACTCCTCCTTCCCCCCAGCATTCTCTCGAGTCAAGCTTGTTCCCACATCTCCTTCCTTGAGCTCACGTTCTCTCTGTTTAAAGACAGTGAATTACAGCCATTTAGAGTCAAGTATCATGTTTTAAACACTGTGGCACAGTTCAACCACAGACCTGCTAAACTTAAAACTGATGCAAGTGCCCACACATGAATTCTTGCATTCATGTAATTCTGTGTTTTATTCCTCTTCCCATCAGACTCTAACCCTTCAGCAACATAGGACAGTAAATTTTTGAAAGAAAAACCTCCACACTAGATTTGTTCTACTAACACAGCAATAAAATTCTGTAGGACATTTTAAGAAACAAGGTGTTTGAATCTTATCTGAGAGCGAGAGGGACTGCAATTTAAGCCCAACTGTTTCATGACTGCACAATAACCTCATCTCTCTGCAGAACACAAACCAGAGGGAACAAATCATTTTGTGCCCAACACAATTGGTGGGAGTGATAAGCAGCCATTGTCCCAATTATTTGGGACAGGTCAGGGAAGAAAGCCACATCACTACAATGACTTAGCCCAGGAGTTTACAGAGCAGAAGTTGTGCTCTCCACAAGTCACCTAAGGCGGCAGCCATGTGCATCACCAAAATTCAGTGATCACCAAAGGCCCTGCAAAAACACTCTTCCCTCTGCCCCAGAGTCAACTCCAGACACAGGAGTTGCAGCATCCCACCTAAGTGTGGCTTCCAGTAGATGCTGCTTCACAGACACAGTTAAGCCCTTGGAGCTTACTTGAAACTAAGTGCAGGAATATCACGTATTAACACGAAGTTACAAGCAGGAGAAGCAAACCCTAGCACAGAAGAAATTGTGAGTCCCCTGCTGTGTTAAGTGTCACTTCTGAGACTTTATGGGTATTTATTGTTTCTTGTCTGCAGGAAGAAGCATTAAAGTGTAAATAATTACTTTGGTATTTCATGCAACTTGCAATCTGTCAGTCCTTTATGGCTTTTTTTGAAATATTAAAGGAGTTACGGATAAACAACAAACAAAAATCAACAGAGGACATTTTGTTTTCACAAAACTGAGGCTATTTGACATCCAAGCCTCTTTTGTGCCAAAGACATCAAGAAGTTCATACAAACACTTCCAGTTTGAGTCTACCCACCAACTGTCGGCATCACTAAGGAAACCAGTGCTCTTGACTTGCCAAACTGTGTTCTTCACGAACAGGGAAGTTAGTCTAACCGTTCCTAGACACACAGACAAGTAACTTTTGCACCTGAGCAAAATTTCAGAAAATAAAGGTGCCTCAGAAGCCAAAAAAAACCACCACCACCAAACCACACAGATTCAGGTGTTCAAGGACAAAACAGAGCTCCTAATAAACACTTGAGAAGGGAATAGGCAAGCAGAGGTTATTATCCTTACTACTCAGTTTGAGTAAAACTTCCCTCATGGTTTCAGGAAGGTTGTGCAGGAACTTATTTTTCTAATGACCAGTAACACAGTATGGTCCTTACTGAAGAAGAAAGCTGTTTCCATCTTCTACTTCCTTTCACTCAGCATGCCGAGTTTTTAGACAGGATTTCATTGGTTTCTAGAACGTATCAAAACTTCCCTGAAAGGCTAACTCTATTAAGTACTTGTCATTTGTTGGGTTTAAAAGCTCATTTCTTCAGACTTGATCTTCATTTATCAACAAGATGCTTCAACAGTTAAATATTAATATAACTGGAAAAGCCTCATGCAAGGAAGAAGATAAAAATCTTCATCTTTTAACTATTAAGTCTAAAATAAAGAGCTTCTCCTCCCCCAAGCTATCATTTAACCCAGAACTAGGCCCAGCTGTCCACTTAAAAAGGAAAGGCACTACCTCAGCACGGATTTGTTAGCAAACGCTACACAGGATTTACAAGTAGATGCATCTTGGCCTGCCTGCTCTGCCATCTCATGCCAGGTTAATTCTCTCAGAAGAACTAAATACGCATTATGGAGCACATCATAGTATTAAAAATGCAGCGATTGATTTAAGTACAGATAAGCCATCGCATCCAAAGCAGCCTTCAGATACAGAAAAAGCCTTTCTGAATTTAAAGGGTTTGCATTTCTACCTGCCTGTTGTGCCTGTTACTGCAGTATCTGAGAAAACCACCTAAACATAAGAACAAGAAGTAAAATTGCTTTACTAGCAGGGCAGAAACACATTTCAATAATCATTTTTCCCCTCACAGAGATGATAATATTTTCCCCTCTCATCCTGATGTGAAAGCCTGTAAACAAAATAATCATTTGTTTTTCTCTGAACTGCAATACCTGACTTGTTTGGTTTGGGAAGTGATTGGCTTCAGATATTTCTTCTGGGAAATGGAATTCACAGCCCTGGGTGTTTTTCCTATTTGCTTAATAAACCTGTCACATCTATTGTTTAGGGTTTGAGCAGAGAGAACAAAGTTAACTTTGCACAGAGCAAACTTCTCAAGTTCTGGTGATTTAGCAAGAAGCCTTGTAGTAAATCCAAGGCGAATTACTGTCTTTCTAAAACAAATCAAGCAAGTAGTGACAAAAGCCAGCTTTTCACGCCCTTGAAATACTTTAGTGCCAAAAACCTGAAGAGTCATCCTCCAGTCTGTGTTCACAAACAGAAGAACCCACAGATGAGAAAGCCTCAGGATACACTCCAATTCCTTGGTACCTCAAGGCTCAGCACAGCTCCTGCTGCAGCCTGCTGGAGAGGGTGGGCTGTTTTTTTTTTTTGCTGATGCCATTGAAGCAGACCTGAATAAAAGCAACTGAACCTCAGGTGTAAGGCCTTATGATCACCTCCGCTACAGGTGAAGGCAAAAACAAACTCTTCCCTTTTACCGCCATACCGGCAGCACAACAGGCAGAGGCAGCACATACTTTATGGGCAGACAGAGTCCCATTTTTGATGGGTCGAGAGCAGAGGGTATCTGACACATGGCGCACACACACAAGCAGGGACCTGAGCGTTCCCTGCCAAGGCAGAGGTGTCTCTGACCTTTTGACAAATAACAGTTCAACTGTTTCAAAGGATTTCTTACAAACATGCCAACGAAACTCAGAGCCATACCCAAATACTACCAACAGGACATGCTACTTCTACTTCTCCTCCTCTTTTAAGTGCTCCCTCCAGGACGTCAAGGTGCCTGGTATCTCCCTGTGTTTTCCATTTTATCACAACAAACAATCTTCAAACTAAATTTTGCAGGGGTAAGAAAAACAGGAAAGACCTAAACTCCAGGTAGTGAAGGATTCCCTAATTTAACTTAATTTAGCATTTTTAGCCTCGTGGCTCTACCTATTGATGTGCCATGGCTGAAAACAAAAACAAAACAAAACAAAAAAACCACACTCAAAAACTTGTTCCCTGAGAAGCAGAAGTTTTTACTCCTGGAAGGAAAATGACACCCAGAATATCCCAATTTTGATTGAACTTCTTTCCTAAACCTCCCCAGTGGTCAAACAAGAGGGAACCCTTGACCCCATCATGATTTACAGCCTCATCCATCAAAAGGCTCCAGGATATTTTAACAAATTAAAGACACAAACAGTAAGAAAACAGTAATACATCAAGGGCTGGAGCCAGGACTAACAGAACCAGTGCTAAGGGAAAGCGTTGGCAAGGCTATCAGGAAAAGACTGCCTGGCAGCAAGAAATATTAGTAAAACTTTCCCAGGGGAGTCATTAAATGAAGTATTAAAGTTCATGAATTACATGAATGAAGGAGTTAAAGTTCACACCAAGCAGAGCTCTAGAAGCAATACTCTAGTGGCAAGAGGACAGCTAGAAAAGCTGACAACTGTTCCCCTAGTACAGGCTCATCTGTCAGTGGCACCATAGGCAAGAATCACATGAGGGTTTTTTGAAAGTTTATTAGGTACCAGGCTGCCCACAGGAACGGCGCTCATTCCTTACAAATCAACCTGCCTGCAAGACTAAGACACATGGAAAAAGAATGGGACAGGGAGCAGACTTCCACAAAGACACTCTTGAACACAACAGAAGAGAAGCAGAAGACCGCTAGTACACTGTGGGGACCTTCCTGCTCCAGGTACAAAGCTCTGGCTGTCACAACCCAACTGTAACAAACAGAAACAGAACTGTAATTTGCTCAGTCCACAGATGAAACATCCTGCCAATCTTACAGTGACAGGGGGGATACTCCAACTGCTGTCAGTCACCAATAAAAGTGGCTTTGAGCATTTGCAAGTGAGCACAAAGATGAATACTGGGAACTCAGACTGAGTAATCGGTGAACCAGCAGACAGCCCAACAGCAAGAAAATCTTATTAAAAATAGCTACTAGAGTCTACATAATCACAGGCTACAGACCCACTCCATACATCGCTGCCCAGTTAAGCACAAAAGCCTGAACTGAAGCAAAAAAAAAAATCAGACAAAGGTTGAAAGCACGACAGCTGAGATGGGGAACTTGGCAATCCATTACCTTGCCGTGACTGAAATAGGAGGTGGCTTGATCAAAACCAAAAATTGTGGCATGTGTTTTCAAGAATTGTCCCTAAAATGGGGAAAGCCCCTGGGAAGTTCTGACTGATACCAACAAACAAACAAAAAAACTTGGAAGATTTTTTTCCTCCTAGAATAGAAACCTTTGTGAATTTTCAATAACGAGGCAGAAGGAAGTCTCCATTCACATCTACCTGACTATGCTGTAGAACAACAGAAGGTCCCTGGCATGACTCTGAGGCAGCAGGTACTACCTGCCACCCAAAGAAAGGATGCTATTCAAGCAAACCTGCAGCTCAGCCCCTGCAGAGGGAATCTTCCATTTTCTTTTGTTTGAAAAGTCAATGCTGAGATTTTTTTGGCATATACAACATCATTTTAAAGCCCAAACTCATGCAAACAAGTAATGACAGGCTTATGCTGAATTAGTCTGAAAGGGCACTGCACATCATCTGTGAAATGCAGAACAATAAATGATCCCACCAATGTCTATTTTCTTGTAAGTTCAACATTGGCCAGAATCCTTTCGAGGACAAAAAAATTCCCAGATCACAATCCTAAAAATATACCTACAGAGCTACAGTGGGGTTTGAGATTCCT